AATCGGTAGTAGACTATTTTCTTGAATAATTGATTTCTATCGTTTGAGGAATATTTTTTCAAATAATTATGACATGACGGGCAGCAAGGAAATCGATTTGTAATGTTTTATTTCTGTAGCTTTTTTTCAGGCTTTAAAATCGTCTGCGTTTTTCCAATAAGCTGAGACATGCATCAGTGTAAATGTTGCGTTGACGTAACATTTTTAGTCCTTTCGTAGGTAACTTCTTTAACACTAGTCCAGGGATGAGATCGTATCCTTTTTTCGGGTTGAGGTTGTATTTCACCTCTCGTTTGAGCTATTTTAAGGTAACTTTTTTGATTGTTTTATGCCAATTATTTTCTATTTGTGGAGGCACTCATTTGACCCCATTGCCGCTTCCTTCGGAGTGAAGATATTTTGTAGATGAGTAGCGAAATTATCAGCTTTTTCCTCATCAGTTTTGGCATATTCGTCGTTTTATTTCCGGATTGGTGGTACATGAGTGATTTTCATTCTCAGTTTTTTCGTAGTTTTCCACAGGGAGTAGTTTGTACTTTTATCCGCTGTTAGATTTTCCAAGAACGAGTTTGCCGAATTTTCTTTTAGCTGCTGGATCACTTTAGATTTTTTTGAGATTTGGAATTTAACTTGGTTTTTATCGCAGGATCTCTGGCTGCTTCCCAATTTCGTCTGTTTCCTTTTATTTTTTTATCAGATTCCTCACTTCCATCGGGTAGTTAAATCCGGGGGTTCTATGGTGACGATGTTTTGGTGTTGGTCCAAACCGTTTGTTGCATTAATTCAGTAAAATTTGCCACTGCTTTATCGAGCTGATCCTTTGTGGTAAGATCAATATCTAGATTAATTTATTGAGCTATTTGGATCTTAAAACATTCCCAGTCTGTAGTCTTATTTATTATTATCTCACAGTTGGTTTTAAAGTTTTTTTTTAAGACAGTTTCACTGAGGTTATGATTACCGATGAATGATCTGAATCAAGGTCATAGTTGTCTTCAATGTTGATAAAATTGGATGCAATTTTTTTGGTTACAAAGAAATCTAAGACATCAGGAGTTTTATGTCTGACTGTTGGCCAATACGTTGGTTTACTAGATGAATGTAAGTTACACCCAATCTTATGGATGGGTATTTTGAGCTCTCTGCCTTTCGTATTATCCAGTCTGCAGCTCCAAGGTGAGTGTTTTGCCTTGAATTCCCCACCCAAGATGAATCTGTCACCCATGTGCTTGAGGATGAACATATAATATTTTTAGAGGTTATGACGAGGGGCAGGTAGACTGTTCCTACTTTAAAGTGTTGTTTTGTTGATAACGATTAATACGGTTAGCTGTATTTGATCCAACTGTATGCTGAGATCCTCATTATATTTTAAACTATTTTTTTCAATTTTTTATGAATATAGCGCTGCCACCGTTGGCTTAATTATCCGAATGAATAGTGTCGTCTACGTTGTATCCATTTATTTTAATGTGATTTTGTTCGGTGAGATGAGTTTGAGACAAAGCATATATCAATTTTGTTTTTCTTCAGATATACCGAAAATTCTTCTGTTCTGTCTCGAATGCCCATGTTAAAACCTGTAAATCTTTAAAAGCCATAATTATTTATTAGATTTACTTTTATTTGACGGAATTCTCCTACCCCCAAGTAATTAAAAAAATAATATATTTGTCTTCAAAAACTGACGAAGTCCCCCAAAGCCACTCAAACAAGTGCACTCATAGTAGTTGTATCAAAAACTACACTTTAATGATCAAGTTTCCAAAAGGATTCTGATTCACTTTTTGGCTCGGTTTTAGCGTGCATTTACCAAAAATTGATATTTTAGACTTGATCGGTTTTAGCTTTAAGCCCACGATATGTTCGCATTTTTTTTTTTTTCAAATGACATCTTTAGCCTTTAACTTTATTTCTCTGTGAATAGACTAATAAAGACATATATGAATTAGGAAAAGGAATGCAATGCTGGTGGCACCCATTGTACCCCAGCCAACAAAAAGTTGTCCGCAAACAAAAGTGTCCAGTCTTTCGTAACAAATCAAAAAAAGATAATGCCGGGAGCTAGTCCCGTTCAGACAGACACGTTCTGAACCAGTTCTTATTGTACCGCGAA